AGAATCCAGTAGAGGTGAAAAGAGTGTCAGATAGGGTGAAGTGTCTGAAGGTAGAAGTAGAAGGTCTGATGCTAAACATTGTCAGTGGTTATGCTCCACAGCTTGGATGTGATGTGGAGGAGAAGGATACATTTTGGAATTTACCTGCTGTCACGATAAAAAAAAAAATTGCTGAGCGATTAATTGTCTCAGAAATTATTGCGAGAAATCAGAGTCAGAAATAAATAATAATAATAAATGATAATATTGTTTGAAATTTGACAATAATTGGTAATTAGAAGAAGAAATGTTCATCAATTTGTTTCGAGTGTATTACCTTTTTTTAACCACTGGATGATAGTGTACTGTTTGAACCGAAGGAAGAACAGTTGAGGAGCGAGCAGTGCATCTCTTTAAGAAAAATGGGAGGGAGGCTCCTTAACGTGACATGTGCTTTCTCTCTTTCCTTTTTTTCTGGATCTGTGCCTTCAGAATGATCTTGCTTGCCCGGTGCCCACTAACACAAGATTTCTGTCCCAGGCTCTTGGGAACGATGCCACTTTCTACATCTGAGGTTGAATCGCAAGTGGTTCCTGTAGTCTGCCCTCTTCCTTGCTGTTTTCTCAAACTCTCTAACTAGTATGAGGCAATCCTGGCCAAAGTGGTTCAAAATATCCTGCTCAATAATCCAGGTAGAAAAATCTAAAACTTATGACACTCCTTAGTGACTTAACCACTTATGAGCCACTGAAAAGAGATCCAGGAAGTGGTTACATGAAGAAGTTAATAGATTGCCTGAAAATGTTGGAGCAGGACAAGGCTATTGACCGTTTTCTGTACCACAGACTGTACCCAGGGGAGGCCACACCTAGTCTGTATGGTTTACCTAAAATCCACAAACAAGGTGTACCTTTAAGACCAATTGTTAGCATGATTAACTCTGTCACTTACAATGTTTCCAAATATCTGGCGTCTGTACTCATCCCTTTAGTTGGCAGCTCAGAACACCACATACAGAACACCATGGACTTTGTGGATAAGGTGAGGGATGTCATCATGGAGACTGATGAAACAATGGTCTCTTGATGTCACATCACTCTTTACGTGCATTCCTGTTGATGATGCAGTAGAGATGGTCCATTTAAGATTAAAATCAGACACCACTCTGAGCAGCAGGACCACGCTTTCCACAGAACAACTGTGTCAACTCTTGAAACTGTGCCTGCAGTCAACCTACTTCACAAATGGGGAGCAATATTATAGGCAGAAACATGGGTGTGCTATGGGGTCTCCAGTTTCTCCTATTGTTGCCAACCTGTTCATGAGCCTTGATGTCCTTTTCAGGGACACCACCAAGTCATTGGTTCAGGTATGTTGACGACACCTGGGTTAAAATCAAATCTCAGGAAGTCCAACATTTTACTGACCACATCAACTCTGTGGATAAATACATTAAGTTCACACGAGAAGATGTAAAAAATGGCAGGTTGGCTTTCTTGGACTGTGAGGTCTCAGTCTCTGATAGAGGACATTTGCAAACTGAGGTGTACCACAAACCCACCCACACAGACCAGTATTTACAGTTTGACTCCCATCACCCTTTGGAGCACAAGTTAGGAGTCATCAGGACTCTGTACCACAGAGCAGACAGCGTCCCCACTAGCTCAGGAGCCAGGCAGAAGGAGAAATCCCACACAAGACAGGCTCTAGAGCAATGTGGATATCCTAACTGGGCCTTCCTGAAAGCAGAGAAGAAACCCAAACAGGACTCCAGTCAGCCATCAGGTGAAAAGGAGGAACCCAGTCCCAGACCAGTGGTCATTCCGTATGTTGAGGGAGTATCAGAGAAACTGAGACGTTTATTTTCTAAACATAACGTCCCAGTGGCTTTTAAACCCCAAAATACATTAAAGACTGGTTCATCCCAAAGATCCAGTCCCCCGGCACAAACAGAGTAATGTTGTGTATGTTGTTCAGTGTCAGGAGGGTGATCAGTCTTACATCGGGGAAACTAAACAGCCACTGGCCAAAAGGATGGCCCAGCACAGAAGATCAATCAGAATCAGGATGCCTTTGTCATTATACGCAGTACAATGAAATTAAGAGCACGCCTTAAGAAAACACACATTAAACACACACTAAAAATATAAAAAATGTAACGCAATATAGATATAATAATGAAAGTAAAAAATACAAGTATTACACAATTGTATTGCACATTATGGATATTAGTGAGGTAGTTAAGGTGACTGAGGGTATGAAATGTCAGTAGTATTGCACAGTAGAAGTCCAGGGGTTTGGGAGGTTAGATTATTAAATCAGTGCATGTGTGAGTTCAGTGTGGTGATGGCTTTCGGGAAAAAACTGTTCTTGAATCTGTTTGTTCTTGTTCTGATGCACCTGTAGCGCTTCCCTGAAGGTAACAAGTCAAACAGTTCAACACCCGGGTGTGAACAGTCCTTGGAACATCATCAGGCCAGGACTCTGAGGTCTACACTCATCTCCAGGTCAGAGGTCACTCTTTCAGGGATGAAGATGTTCACATCCTGGACAGAGAGGAACGATGGTTTGAGAGAGGAGTAAAGGAGGCCATCTTTGTGAAAAGAAATCGTCCATCATTAAACAGGGGTGGAGGCCTCCGGGTTCAACTGTCCCCCTCTTACAATGCTGTGATTGCTAGTATCACTCAGCCCTCTGTGAACAGTAAACAGCCATCAGGTGCTAATGATCCATTGTTAGGCTGATGGTCCTTCTTGAGCATGTGAGCAGCTGGTTCTGGTTGTCAGCAGCAAAACTGGTTGATCCACTCTGAGAAGGTGCTATTTAAGAGACTGAGCTGAATACAGCTCCTCAGACTGAGGAAGTCTCTCGGATGAGAGACGAAACGTTTCTATATATTTTTTTTTTTTTTTTTTTTTGAATGTCCAGAGGACCAGATTGAACTGTTTTGGATGCCCTATTGAAGGTCTTTAACGACATCTTCAGATCCACATATACCGGTGATCCTGTGCTGCTTGTCCTATTGGACCTCACAGCCGCCTTTGACACAATCGACCATGAGATCTCATTGCTAGGTTGGAGCAGTGGGTGGGCATCACAGGATCAGCCCTTAACTGGTTCAGATCTTACCTCACTGACAGATCCTTTTGTGTCTCCGTCAAGGATTTTAGTTCTGCAGCAACATAGCTTAAATGGGGGGTTCCGCAGGGGACCATCCTGTGTCCCCTCCTTTTTCAACCTTTATTTAGACTGGTAAATCCCATTGTGCCTCAATGACTCATTTACAAGAGAGACCTGATTTCAACAAAGAATGATGACAATGATGACTAACAGTGATCACAATAAACAGTTATAAAAAGTCATATATTTTTTTTATTTTTTTTTTACAAATAGGATGTCTAAAAAAAAAAAAAAAGTAACAAGAAAAGAAAAGTAACAAAAAACAGCTAGATTCGAAGGGGAATTTAGAAAACTAAAAACAGAAACATATCTGCATTGGTCCCTGCCAGGAGTCCAACAGAAGTCTTACAGGAGTCCTATTCTCTTTATACCTTCTGCCACTTGGTGCTATTTTCCGGAAACACAACATACGCTTTCACTTCTACGCTGATGACTGTCAAATTTTCTTCCCCCTAAGACACAATGGTACATGCTCTATTCAATCTCTGCTCGACTGCCTGGCTGACATCAGGGACTGGATGGCTTTAAATTTCTTAAGTTTCAATGAAAAGAAGTCTGAAGTCATGTTGTTCCCTCCCAACGACACAATCACAAACCACTGCATCGACCTCTCTACTCTAACCCTGTCAGAAAAACAAAGAGTCACTAATCTGGGCCTGATAATGGACCCTTCCCTGAAATGTAACAATCATGTAAACATGATAATAATAATAAACCTAATAAACTGATTCTGAAGATTGTTAAATCATGTTTCTTCCAACTGAGGCGGCTGTCTAAACTGAAGCCCATATTGTCCAAAAATAACCTGGAGACAGTAATGCATGCATTCCTTACATCTAGGCTTGATTACTGCAATTCGCTCCTGTTTGGTATCAGTCAGACCTCCATTGCACGACTACAACTGGTCCAGAATGCAGCAGCCCCATTTTTAACCAGTACAGGCAAAAGAGAGCACATTACACCAGTTTTGGCCTCACTGCACTGGTTACCAGTTCACCTTCGGATCCAGTTCAAAATACTCATGTCTAGAAATCGCTAAACAGTCTCTCTCACCCCCCCCCCCCCCCCCCCCAATCTCTGATCTGCTACAGCCGTATGTCCCACCACGTTCCCTGTGGTCAGCGGACCAGTTGCTCCTCACAGGTCCAGGAACTCGTCTTAAGCGCAGAGGTGACAGGACCTTCTCTGTAGCAGGACCAAGACTTTGGAACGAGTTACCTCTGATTGTCAGACAGGCCCCCTCCCTCCTGGTTTTCAAATCCCATTTAAAAACTCACTACTATTCAGTAGCTTTCAACACCAGATGATCTGTGTTGTGAACCTGTACGTTCCACACTGGTTTATCATATGTATTATCTGCATCGTTTTTATGTCTATATTTTGATTTGTATATTGCTTTGTGTGTTACCTGTTGTTCTGTCTGTACAGCACTTTGGTTGGCCTTGTAGCTGTTTTAAGTGCTCTATAAATAAAATGGTATGGTATGGTAAAGTAAATCTGTGTGTTTGGCTTTGCAAATAAATAAATAATTGGAGATAAAGTTAATCATCTCATTCAAATGCAGTCAGTTAAAGTTTAAACACAATGATTGCTCAATTAATGCTGTAACTTGACAGCAGAAGGGCACAGAAATACCATTAAATGTATATAAAAAGATGAAAACTTCATATTAAAACAAATAATAACGTGATTGCATTAAAAAAAAAACTGAAGTTACTTCCTTGCTGTGATCTACTGTAATCACATTTTTTGTTCAATCTGTTTCTAATTTGCAAATATAGAAAATGTTCTTACAAGTATCATTTATTTATTTTGCAGTCACTACCTACAGATGAGCCACAATGACAGACGGCGTATGTAGCCACGTGAAGGTGGTTGTTCGGGTGAGACCAGCCAACGAGAGTGAGAGACATGAAAACTGTCGAAATGTCGTCCAGGTGGTTGATAACCACATGCTCATATTTGACCCTAACGAAGAAGACTTGTCATGTTTTGGGTCACAAAAACTGTGCAGTAGAAACATCCACAAGAAGGCTAACAAAGACCTAAAATTTGTTTTTGACCATGTCTTTGATGAAAACTCTACACAAGTTGATGTTTTTGAAAACACAACGAAAGGAGTGTTGGATGGCGTGATGAACGGGTTCAACTGCACAGGTAATGGATTAATTGTTGATTCATTTTAATTCACTTAATAGTCATGATGCAATCTAAATTTATTTTGCATTTACTTGCAAATGTTTTTTTTTACACTTCTTGGTTCATCCTGATTGCAGTTACAGTATCTCAGAATAGTCCACGTGTGTTGCCAATGTAGGAAAAAAATGTTGTGCTATAGATGTAGAAACAAGTCCGTATAGAGTATTATTATGTCAGTAAACTTTGTCTGCTTATTCCATACAGACAAATATTCCAGTCAGGGGCATGCAAGAAAAAAGTGCCACAGGCGTAATCATACTATGGCAAATCATGGCTAGAGTCATAGTCAGTAACAGGAAAAGTCAAAGCCAATATACACAAATAAAAATCACAGGTGGTTTGTGGAAATTATCCTTAAATTTGTAAGTTTACCTGGTCACTTGTCACACTATTTTTTTTTATCTAGATATGCTCAGTGCAACTTTCCTTGCTATTGTATCCAATTCAATTCAACCTTTATTTCTGCAGTTAAGTCTCGTTGAGCCACAAGGACTCATTTACAAGAGAGACCTGTTTTAACAAAGAGTGATGACAACAGTGGATAATCGTATAAAAAGCATATAAAATGAAAAGTAAATGGAATAACTGATTTACAACCGAACAAAAACATCCATCCATCCATTATCTTCCGTTTATTCCGAAGTCAAGTCGTGAGGGCAGCATCTTGATCAGGGAGGCCCAGACATCTCTTTCCACAGCCACCTCTTCCAGCCCTTCTGGGAGGACTCCATGGCATTCCCAGGCCAAACTTAGAGACTTAATCTCTCCAGCGTGTCCTGGGTCTTCCCCTGGGTCTCCTCCCAGTTGGACATCCCTGAAGCACCTCTTTAGGGAGGCGCCAAGGGGGCATCCTTACCAGATGCCTGAACCACCTCAACTGGCTCCTCGACGTGGAGAAGCAGTGGTTCTACTCCGAATCTCTCCCGAATAACTGAACTTCTCACCCTATCTCTAAGGGAGAGTCCAGCTACCCTACGGAGAAAACTCATTTCAACCACCTGTATCCGCAATCTCATTCTTTCGGTCACTACCCAGAGCTCATGACCATAGATGAGGGTATGAACTTAGACCGACCGGTAAACAGAGAGCTTTGCCTTAGAGCTCAGCTCTCTTCACCACAACAGACCAGCACAGCATCCACAATACTGCAGATGCTGTACTAATCCATCTGTCAATCTCACGCTCCATTCTTCCCTCACTCGTGAACAAAACGACAAGATACTTGAACTCCTCCACGTCAGGCAGAACCTCACCCTCAACCTGAAGGGAGCAATCCACCCTTTTCCGGTTGAGGACCATTGCCTCAGATTTGGAGGTGCTGATTCTCATCCCAGCCGCTTCACACTCGGCTGCGAACCGCTCCAGTGAGAGGTGAAGATCACGGCACAATGACGCTAACGGGACAACATCATCTGCAAAGAGTAGAGATGGAATCCTGTGGCCACTTGGGCTGAGTACCGAACCGAGGTTCTTAAATGGCACCTACCGAACTGCACTGGTCGGTGTATGGATTGAAACGTCACTCTTTTTTCGGTGTCAAGTTTCAGTATTGGCTGTAACGTGTCACGTGTTTTCAGCACGCCGGCAGGTAAAACGCAGACGTATGACAAACGGACTACGTGTTTACACCCAGAGCTGTTTAAAGCTGCTCCACAGCTTGTATGTCTATGGGGCTGGTTACGCCCACAGACGGGGTTCTTGTATGCAACGCGTGTGTTGACGAACGGCTTCGACAACACACGCAGCTTTCTGCTTACGAGCAGAACTTTGCTTTGTGTTTTTTTGCAAGAAGAGAGAAGGACAGCAGCTTCCCCTCCTCCTCTCAGCATTAAAGTCAACCTGTGAGTGTTAAACGGACTGAATCAACATTCCACGGCCCGAGTCCTCTTCATCAAAGAACTCCTAAGGACGGAGCTATGCCTGTGTTTCAGCTGGTAAGTTTACATTTGTTAACATTACTGCAGCTTAACACTTACATCGTGGGGAATTAAACTAGGATCCATGTAATGCTAACTTTAAGATATTAGTGTATAAATTTATTTTAGCTACGTAGCTAGCTAAACTCAGAAGCTAACTAAATATTGACAGTAACTGATGAAGCTTAGCTTGTAAAACTGTGCTCATCCATCGGACCAGCTGCTTAAAAAGTTTGCCTAATGTTCACCGGGTTTTTTTTAATGTTCTCCTCACAGGAGCCTCTGACCCAGATGTGAGGACAGAAGCAGACAAAAGTACAACGAGATGGGGGCCACAGGACAATTACAAACTTTGTTGTTTTCAACTAGTTTGACATGACTGTCAACAAGGAAGAGGGCCGACAATGGAGGAGGGGGCGTGACAAAGAGACCATCTTATCACCGACATAACTGGTTTGTTCCACTTTGGAGTAAGCTGTTGGGGGAAGAATCAGTTTTGTGTTAGTTTCCTTGACTGATGAAGCCTTCCGGATCGAAGGCGAAATGTTTCAGCACAAAAAAAGAAACTGTCCAGATGACCTGACTGAAAAATGTTGGATCACACACTTTGTTGTTAAAGTTTGCTGCCTTTTTCTACAATGGAGGCTGCATGGTGGAGGTAAGTAAACTTTAAAGGATTTTGTTGACCAGTTAAACTTTTGTCTCTCAGCCTAGATCATGTTTTTTGATCAATAATAACACAACCATGTTATTGTTTATGTTTTGTGTTCTCATGTCAGTTAGGGAGATGATAAGAGCCCTAAACCCCAGAGAACCACTGAGAAGATTCAGGCAGAGACACAGAGGTGCAGAAGTCTGCATTAACCCTAACCTCAGTGAGTCTAGTGACCTGCTGGTGGAATGTTTGGAACGATATGTCAGTGCTATCAAACTTGACAACCAGGTGTCTGTGTGTGCAACAAGCATCATCCACACCCTCAGAATGAACATTTCCTACTGCAGGAGACACCATCAGCCAGGAGTGGGCTTGTTTGTGTCCAGAGAAAGCAAACATGTTGATTTTTCTCAAGAAAAACTGTTTAATAAAAAGGTTGTCAGTGTGTAGCAGTGAGCATTAGACACTGGCATGTCACTGGTTTGAAACTGATCTTTTGAACTGGAAATTATTTATTTATTTTTATGTAAGAAAACTGCTTGGATAGAAATACCAAAGTTAACAAATTAAACTCACAATTTGTACAGTAATGTGTAACGTAATTTTATTCTTGTTAGAATTAATATTAATTACAAAACTGGTACCGAAAAAAGAACCTTCCAGGAACGACACCCAAGTGAAGGTACCGACACTGTACCGATACCGACACGTTACCGATACGATTTTATTTATTTATTTATTTATTTATTTAGAAAGGTACCCATCCCTAGAGGCCACCGAACCAGAAACCCTCCGCCAGCTGGCTGCACCGAGAAATTCTGTCCATAAAGTTATAAACAGAATCGGTGACAACGGGCAGCCCTGGCGGAGTCCATCTCCCACCCTGAAGGGGTCTGACTCTCTGCTGGCAATGCAAACTAAACCCTTGCATCACTTGTATAGGGACTGAACAGCCCGTTGTAGTGAACTTGACCTGATGTCAAATCTTGACCTTAGGATCATATGGTCAGAAACTGTCATTTCATTGATTTGCATCCAGAAATACAGGTTGATCGATCCTGAGACTTTCTTTCTTGAATTAATCAAGTGGAAAAGACAATTAAAGACATAAAATAAATAATAAATAGGCGGACGGTGCGGAGTCAGGCACGGGAGCTCCCTTCTCTCGTTGTCCCCGAACCAAACCGCAGATCTACAACACTACTGATGGAAAGCTTATAGTGGAGGATGAGTTTTTAAACTTTCTTGTGGTCAAAATCAAGACTATGTGCCAGGAAGAGCTTGTGCTGCTCGCATCCAACACGTTCGACTTTGAGTGGATTGAGTCCTCTAGAAAAGTCCTGTTTGAACTGTGTTCCAATTCCAAACAGCGGTATGTGGCCTTCAAAGGAAGTCAGAAAGCTGTAAATGCCATTAAAAGCTGTTTAAAAGTTCTGAATGAGTGCGGGGAAGCTATACCTCACTTTGTCTCCCACTTCCTGGATGAGCTGCCGCCTGTGACGTTCAACAGCCTGGATGTCTCCAACTTACTCAGCAAGATGGAGCGTCTACAGAGCGAGGTTTGTGCCCTGAAGCATACAGTGTCACGCCAAGTGGACGTTGAGGAGAAGTTGCGTGAGGTTACCACCACCATTGACCGCAGAGTCACGGCAATGGAACGACATTTGGTCCTTGGAGGTGGAGGATCCAGCAGTGTGAATACGCCTGTTCCAGGAATACCCAACGCCAGTGACTTGACATTGGCTGCGGACGGCTCCGAGGAGGTGGTAACATGCATGGATTCTGTTCGAACAAACTGTGTTATTGCTGATAATGCCGCTTTGGCCGTGAATGGGACCTACACCGACGATCCCAGGATTATTGGCGAGTCTGCGGTGAGTGATAACCGTAACCGAAGCTGTGCTACAGATGCGCCCATCAGTTCGCCCACATGGAACTTGGTGGTGAAACAATGGCGGCGTTTGAAAACTGAGAGCCATTCAGCTACATTAAAACGCCAAGCTAAACCTGAGCGTAAAAGACCAGCACCTATTATCGGTACTGGTGCTCAAAGCACCATAAAAGTGGTCAGAACGAAGCTTGTAACTGTTTTTACAACTAGATTTATTCCAGATCTTGATGATGAGACACTAATGAACTATCTTAAAGGAAAACTTGGACGCGATGTTCAGTGCCGGCGTATTGTCACTGGGAACACCAGATATAGTTCTTTTAAAGTCAGTGTGGAGTGTGAGAACGTTGCAGAAGTGTACAACCCAGAGCTGTGGCCAGAGGGTTCGGTTGTGCGCCGTTACTATGAGCCACGGAATAAACCTACAACGTCCAAAGGGCTTGGGGTGATCACTTCAAGTGATGCCAAAGGGATGGATGCAACGGCTGCAGTGAAT